TTCTTAACAGTCACGCAAGGCACGCAACAATTTTTCGTAACAAGCTGCTATTAGGTTAACCTCATTATTCATTATTTTTATTCTTCTGATGTAGATATTTAGCTGCAACTATAGTTTACATTCTTTAATTTTATTTTTATTTCTTTTAACTGTTTGTATTCTTGCTGAAAAACCGATTCAGGGAGCTTCAATAAAGGTCTTTATCTGTATCTGTAATTTCAGTCTTCTATTTTTCGCAGACATCTCAAGGGTGGATTGCGCAAGGATATTGCTTATGAGTACAAGTGCACCTGTCCCGATGGATTCACCGGCAGCCATTCAGAACAAGGAGGGTGGACGGCTTTTTCATGCTTAAGGACACTAGATGTTTATTTTGTTTTTATCCATCCTCATGAAATGAAATAGCACGCACTTTAGCAGAAATAACAAAATGCTCTCTGATATGCAGATGTTGTTGGTACTTTATTTATAGGTCTAATCTTTTCAGTGTGTTAGTTCTCAGCACGAGCTGCCGTGCTATGTTTCAACTCCTTGACAGCCTACATACTGTGAATGAAAATAACAACATTGTTTATATAAGCTATCTAAAATTAGTTCATTTTCCGGCCTGGGTAGACTTTAATTTTTCCCTACCAATGCTTGTGACTCTTTGAATTTTTAGCGTTTGTGTACTTACCATGAATCCGAATGTATCACACAAACGAAGGCGACCTCACTGAAAGCTAACCTAACCTAACTTCTTTGACAATGCAAACCGTAGGATGCTAAGGTTACAGAATGAAAGATTTGAAGGTGAATCCTGATAATCGACTATTAAGTAAGTTATAGCGATATGACATAAGAGAGTATTCATTTGCGACAACCCAATAAGATGTCGAGAGTTAAGAGAGATCAGCCGTTTATTTTGCAGAATATGACCGGAAGTAGAATCGCATTTATCCTTGACTCAAGTGTAACTGGCTATGTGTAGTTTACAACAAAGTGTGTTTTATTTATGAGAATAAGTATTGGTTACGAAGAGAGTTTTTCTTTTTAAGACAATAAGCGCTGAATAAATTATATAGAAACTGCCGGATACCAATTACTATTTCAACAACGGCATTGATGCTTCTTTAGTTCACAACAACATTTGAATGATAACAATTGATAAAGTGGATCTGAAATTTTAAACGAGTATCAATTATAAATTTCGCAACGGCAATGAGGCTTCTAGAGTTGACCAGAACACTTAAATGACAATAAATGATAAACTAGATCTGAATTTTAAGGAAAGGCGAAATTCACAGTTTCGTTTTGATTTATTTTTCATTCCTTGAATAAGATGATATATTTCAGTGTTTATTCAGACAGAAATGGCTGACGAAATTAACACTTCGCACGGACAAATATGTCTCTTTAACATTTAATGAACGATTACAATATTTATTATTCTTTTATTCAGCTCTCAGAGCATCCTTTCCACTTGACTATGATTGGAAAGAAAAATATTAAAAAAAACGTCTCTGAACTCCTTATAAATTATTTGAAATATTTTCGAAGCTTTTACAAAGCTGCGTGTATACACCGAAGGCAAAGTCTCGACCAAAAAAAAATGAAATGAATTTTTTTCTGTGTGGTGTTGTAGTTGGGTTATTAATACCTGAAATCGAAGTATGTCAGGCAATTCTTTGCAAGGAAGCGTCTCTTTCTTGTCCTGTGATAACTCGCAATCATCGCCGACTGAAAGGCTTCACGTTCAAAACATTTCACCTTGCAAGCCTGATATCTTGTGGTTTGCTATGTCAGAGAGACCCTCGATGTGTTTCAACAAATTTCAGAAAAGTTTTCAAAAGAGAGGGAACCTGTGAGTTAAACGACAGAGGAGTTCTCCTTACTGAGAAAGGAAACGAATTGGAATACGACGAAGAAGCAATTTACACCCAATTTTACGACACGAAGGTAACCAAAAAAGTCTCGATAAAAGACGAAGAAAAAGGTGTTACTGATTCCACGAGATATTTGTCTTTCATTCGTGGTATCTTTCTCATAAAATTTTCATATATCGACGACAGATGTGAAAAATTTCTATCTCTCATATTTTTCTTTGAATGTTTTTATCGTTTGGCCTTTAATAAGCTCACTTGTGCAGTCTCCATACGGTGATGAACCCGGAAGACTAGTTGATTTCCCGATAAAATGATGTTTTATGTTTTCAGCACTACTGTCAGGCATCCAAGGAAGATTTAAAAGTCGTCAAATGCAAATGTAAGTAGTGTTGGTTTGAAAGGTATTCTTGAGATTAATGTCAACGACCTCGTGTTTAAATTACAATGAGTTTCTTGTCCTGGCTGCTTCTTGTCTATCCGCCAATAGGTGCGGAGACTGCCGTCCTCGCGAACCTTCGCAAACATTCCCGAACCTTCTTGAAACACTGCGATTCTTATAGTTTCCTTGAAAGTCCACGAATGCTGTCAAAAAAAATTGCCGAGGAAATTGTTGCTTAGGTCACTTCTAAATCAAAGTGGATATCAAGCCTTTAATTCCCACGAGTGACCAAGACAGAATTTCTCCTTACAATAACCATACAATATCAATCAGACAGGTGATGAGAATAATGAAAAATATAAGTCCTCCTTTATCCCATGATGAACAAATCAATATCTGTGTGATTGTATTTCTCTGTCTCAATTTCAGGTGCGGAATCACCAAAAACCCCAGTTCCCCTCGGCATGGAAAGCGGTGCTATTTTTGACTCACAGATCACCGCTTCCTCCGTGTTTAATGATAGACATGCCCCACCGAATGTTAGACTACATTTCAAAGGATCCGAAAACCCGGTCAGATATGCTGGTTGGGTACCTAGCGTGAAAAACACTAACCAATGGCTGCAAGTGGATCTTCAGCAAACCACAAGGGTAATAGGCATAGCGACGCAGGGGAGACATGATTGGGATCAGTGGGTTACTAAATACAAGCTACAATATGGCGATGATGGACTAACTTTCAGGATTTACAAGCGAAACGTAGACACATCAGACACGGTATGAATACGAAAGACTTTTTGAACAAGTTGTTTTTTTCCTTCTTGCTGGAGGGTGGGACAACGAAAAACAATTAGTCCCCAAGAGCGATAGAACCCCAGACCTTCGAATTCTTCGCTCCAATACACTAACGCTTCGCCACAGTGACCTTACAGACAACTGAGCTATTACGAGGTCCATCATATGTTCAAATATGTACTTTTCTTTTTTTGCTTTTGGTGGGTCTGAGACGAGGTAGAGATACTTGAGAACGCTAGAAAACGAGTAGTAAAAAATTAGTGAGATCAAACTGTATTACTTTATATCTATGTTTATATTTGATGGCTGATAAACATGTAGAAAAGCATCAACTAAGGTTCTAGGTTTAGACCTACTGCTTCTGTATAATGCATACATTCGTCAATTCTACATCCCACAATACTCTACTCAGGTTTTCCCAGGAAACACTGACAGGGACACAGTTGTGTATCACGATCTTAACCCGGTCATTGATGCTCGCTTCGTTCGAGTTCTTCCGATGGAATGGTTTGACTTTATCGGGATGAGAATGGAGCTTTACTCTTGTCAAGGTAAGTTACTGGTTAATCTGTTTATCCCTGGCTGGATTATTGTGCTTAACTTTCAGAAATGATCAACATGGATTTTCTCCCTATAATGTCCTTACCTTACCCAGCAAACAGGTTATAAGAATATTCAAACTTATCAGGTAGAAGTTGTCATCTTGGTCCTATATCAAATTCTTCTAACTAATTTACAAGGATATGTGTAGCAGCTAAAGGGGAGATTTGTTAATTACGAGTATGATTACCAGAGAGAATTGGACGACTCGAGGTTTTGTCACCAATTAATCAAAACTATGAAAACGTTTAAGAAAGAGACTGGACATCGGTTATACGTCTTCATAAAATTAAAAAAAACAAGAGTTAAATCGGCGAAACATCACGCACATGACGCGTTCTGTCCACTTACGCAGGTATGACGTGTTAATTGTCCCTATAACTGTCCTATTACACTGTCCAATTACATACATGACGCGTACACTGTCCTATTAGTGCTCTACTCGGGCTGGTGATAACCAATCACGTTCGAGAATTTTGTTATAGTTTTGATTACATATGTAATTGCAATATGGCAGTAAAGCTCAAACATTTTATATCGCATCCTTTCAATTTTGCAGTAATGAACATGTAACTTTTTTTTAGCGCTTATTTTGAATTACATTATCCAGTTAGCATGCAGATGAAAAGATGAGATGGATTTATCAGCTGATAGGTTTTTTTCTGATAGAGCACCAAATTTTCTGAGTTTGCATGTTTACTGGTAAAAGTATAGGAGCTAAAGGGAAGAATTTTCAATCAGATCTTGGGAGTCTAACGGTCAAGGCAGGGCAATTGAAATAAATGGCATTGAGCTATATTGTACGTGCTTGCTTATGTTGTTTTGTCTCCTTATTTTTCATTTTGTAGACGAATAACAGAAGTTTACGAAGAATATCACTGTGATGCAATCCCTCCTTTGCTGACACGATGTAATCCTTGTTGGTGGGCTACAAAGTGCAAAAGCTACTTGACTGATCCACCAATTAATTATCGTTATCAATAACAGATTAAATGGGAGTTTTTTCCTTATTAATTTTTATTTTGTGGCCGAATAACGGCACTTAAATGAGAGTTTCAACGTGATTCAATCCCTCCTTTGCTAACACGATGTGATCGTTGATTTTGGTACAACAAGTACAACTGCAGCTTGACTGACTAGTAGTTAATTATCGACAGTTTTAGCTTAATAGTCGATATAATAAATGCTGCAAAAGCGAAACGCCGTAACAGTGGCACCACATTAAAACGCACCTGTAAAAACGAACGAACATGCTCTTTTAGAGTCTCGTGTTCTGAATCGACATCAATTTCCAACGAAGACATCATTTCAGTCTTCTATTTTGCGCAGACATTAACTACTGTGTAAAAAATCCTTGTCTAAATGGTGGAATGTGCAGGAATATTGCTAATGAGTACAAGTGCACCTGTTGCGATGGATGCACCGGCAGCCATGGTGATCGAGGGAGGTGGACGGCTTTTTAATACTAAGCGGGTATGCTACCACCACAAGAGCGACGACATTAAGGACACTAGATGTTTATTTTGTTTTTATCCATCCTCGTGAAATAGCGGGTGCTTTTGCAGAAATACCACAATGCTCTCTGATATGCAGATGTTATTTGTATTTTACGTATAGGTCAGTGTGTTAGTTCTCAGCATGAACTGCCGTGCCTTGTTTCAACTTCTTGACAGCTTTAATGAGGGTCCCCAAAAAGATTGTTCAATCCCACGATCCCGACTAAAATTAACTCTCAATCCCGTTCTCCCGACGGTTTATATCGGCCAATCCTGATCTTGATCATACAATTTTGTCTTGGTCCATTCTCTAGAAGTAAGCGGGCCCCATCGTTGGGTGATGGCTTTCTAAACCAGCTTTGATCCATTGAGGTCTATGGTCACCGTCGGACGTAAGTTTCTCCCTTTTCACCAAAATGATGATATCGTTCATTCAAGGCTAGTCACGGTAACGACTTCCTTCCGTTTAACTTCGATCACGCACCAAAAACGGATCAGTAAAGATAGGTAAGTATCAAAGAAACGAATAGCAATGTCAACAAGTGCATGAAAGACAGAAGGTGACAGCAATCCCATTGTTTCATAACAATGTAAATAAAGAAAAATTAACTGAATACAACTCTGCTGTTGAAGCGAATACTTCTTCCGAAGCGGGAACCTCTTCCGAGGAGAGAATTAGCCTCTCATTCCAAAGATGGAATATCTTCATCATCACACGTGGAATTGTACTCTAATATTCCGTCTTCCTCTTCTTCTTGTTTCCCACTGCTCCTTGAAATCAGAGTGTTCGAGGCTGACCCGCCCGCCCTGCTAAATTTCTCTCTGATAGAGGTACAACTGGGCAGTTCAACCTCTTGCCATCGGTGTTTCCTATCTGACAGAGCGCTGACGCACGGCAAAACGATGTTTACTTTTGCTGCTGCAACAAATGTTTATGCCCAGTCCGCACATCTTCTGCATGCTCTGCGGTGCCATTAATGCAGGTGGTAACGGTTAAACTACTGACAGGATCATGGCACGTTCGGATAGAGGATACCAAGAATTTAGATTTGTAAAATAGTACGCCGCCCAATTGGTTCGCCTCTTTAAGCCTTCTTTTGCTGCATTTCCAAAGTTTCTTGCGTAATCTAACACAGTGAAAAATTTATCTTTGTGATGCACAACCGAGCAAATATGTGCCTCGTCTAATGTCAAACAACTCAATAGTAACGAGTGTCATATCGGTATAATTCTGAGACTTGCTGGAGGGTTTCAAGTCCGTTAGACGCAGCAGTCTTAGATACCAAGTTACTCTGTGAACCACTGAGGATTTTTTGGTAAACTGGCAACCTCGCTTCTCATAGAATTTTCGTTCCCGCGCAATAGTTGAAGAGTTTCGCTGACCAACCCGACCGCCCCTTGAATGCTAGTGAGCCTGTGTGCCTGGTGCTTTTCATGGACTGAGAAGATCAATTTCTTCATTCATTTCCGTCAACGGACATCCTGGTTCTCGGTTCGTTTGAAGTGATTATTTCCCGAATCCTGCTCCTCAAAATCACCGATTCCCGCTTCCCATTCACTATAGCAATCCAGCATCTCGCTTCCCTCTTACTCAAAATTCCCGGATTCCAGCCTTTAAAAAAGCCCATTCCCAGATCCTGAGAAACTTATTAGGGACCCTCTTATATACTCTGAAAGAAAATAACACTATTGTTAACATAAGCTATTTAAAATTCGTTCAGAGTCCGGCTTGGGTATACTTCAAATTTTCCCTACTCAATGCTCCCTTTGAAAATTTCTTTATCACATACAATGCCAATTCTTAGCGTTTGTATACTTATCTTGAATACCAATGTGTCACAAAAACAAACTTCACTGGAAGCTAACCTAATTTAACTTCTTTAACATTGCAGACCGTAGGACCCCAAGCTTATAGAATAAAATATTTGAAGGTGAATCCTGATAGTCGGCTATTATGTAAGTTATAGCGATATGAGAGAACAGAGTTTACATTTGAGACAAGCCATTAAGTTGAAAAGAGTTTAGGAAGATCAGATGCTTATTTTTGCAGAATATGACTGGAAGTAGAATCGCATTTATCCTCAACTCAAATGTAACCGGCTATGTGTAGTTTACTACAAAGTGTATTTTATTTATGAGAATAAGTGTTGGTTACGAAGAAAGTTTTCTTTTAGGACAATAAGTGCTGAATAAATTATAAAGAAACTGCCGGATACCAATTACCATTTCAACAACTGCATTGAAGCTTCTATAGTTCACAACAGCATTCTAATGATAACAATTGATAAAGTGGGTCTGAAATTTTAGCTGAGTATCAATTGTTAACTTCACAACGGCAATAAGGCCTCTAGAGTTGACCAGAAATTTAAATGACGACAACTGATAAACTAGATTTGAATTTAAAGGGGAGGCGAAATTCACAGATTTTTTTTTGTTCCTTGAATAATATGGTATATTTCAATGTTTATTCATACAGAAATGGCTGACGTAATTAACACTTGGCAAGACAAATAATTCTCTTTAACATTTAATGAACGATTATAAAATTGATTATTCTGTTATTCAGCGCTCAGAGCAGTCTTTCAATTAGCCCGTCCATTTGATTATAACTGGACAGAAAAGAAATATATTTGAAAAGAAGAATATTAAATAAACATCTACGAACTCCTTTTAAATTAATTAAAATCTTCCCGAAGCTGTTACAAAGTTGACTATACGCACCGAAGGCAAAGTCTTGACCAAAAAAAACCGAAATGAATTTTTTTTTGTGTGCTGTTTTAGTTGTGTTATTAATGTCCGAAGTCGTAGCATCTCAAGCATTTCTTTGTAAGGAAGCGTCTCTTTCATGTCCTGTGATAACTCGCAATAATCGCCGACTTAAAGGCTTTACGCTAAAAACATTTCACTTTACAAGCCTGATATCCTGTGGTTTGCAATGTCAGAGAGACCCTCGATGCGTTTCAACAAATTTCAGAAAAGTTTCCAAAACTAGAGGAACCTGTGAGTTAAACGACAGAGGAGTCTTCCCTCTTGAGGAAGGAAAAGAACTGGAATATGACGAAGAAGCTATTTACACTCAATTATATGTAAAAAAGGTAACAAAAATTTGTCTTATCTATTTTAAGTAATGATCCACACAAGAAGTGGGCATCTCAAAAAGTTTGTATGTGTCTATTCACCGGAACGCACCTAAATAAGAGACGAAAAAGCTACGATCTTCGCTTTGTCATGAGAACGGGACTAAGCTTACGGATGGATTTTGTGTTGGGTGATAGTGGAATATCAGAACACGAAATCCTCTGACCTGAGATTTCATTTAATTCGTGACATCTTTCTGATAAAATGATTATTTTTTCGACGTTAGAAGTACAAATTTACCATCTGTCTTATCTGTCTTAGTAATGTGCCTATCCTTTGATCCTTTTCAATTTATGCTATGGTGCAATGTCGAATTTTCATTAGTCTATTGATAAACGCGAGCGGAGAATGGTTCGCGGCGTTACCACGAATATTGACAAATAAAAAAATTGCCAACTTTCTAAATTTTCAGTATCTTTGGATAAATGACACTTGCAAAGTCCTCCCAAGAACAGTGCAGTTAGAGTTAGTTAAGTTGGGTATTCTTAAAATAATTTTGTGGACTGAAAGAAGGTAACATTCATGATTTGAGACACAGAACTGAAATTTTCAGCTTTGTGCTAATAATTTAACGATGGGTCTCTATTTGATGATTAACCAAGATGACTAATTAATTTCCTTTAAAAAAATATATATTCTTATATCTGAGCAGCACAACTGTCAGGTTTTCAAGGAAGAGTTTAAAGTCGTCAGCCGCAAATGTAAGTAGGGCTGAGTAGAAAAATATTCTCAAAATTAATGTCTAAGATCCTGCACTTACATCACTGAGGAGTTACTAGTCTCAGCCGCCTCTTGCCTTTGTGTCAAGAGGCTTCCCGTCAATACTTGCGGAGTCTCCCTCATCTTCTTTATTTCACCTCGGATTTACAAGAGTAGCTGTATAGCTAATTTCTCCGAGAAAAAGAAAAAGAAAAACAGAAAATAAATAAATAAAAGTAAAATCGTATATTATATACAGTACATTAACCACTATAAGTAACAAATGCATTGATGTTCAAAAGAAATTTTGCATATTTTAGTTCTAAACTCATTCAAGGACGTCAATGATCTTAGGTCCTCTTTTAGTTTGTTCAATATGTTTGCAGAAGTGTATCTGAAGGAATGAAGACCATAAGAGTTTGTGTTAACGTATGAGATAACAAGTTTCCTTGATCCTCGTAGGTTGCGTTCAGTATTTCTCATTTGAAAAAGATCATCGTTCGGCATCGTTTCAAACTAGATTGCCTTAAAAACTGTTTTCATCATATCTTAGCACCTGATACTATACACTACACAGATCACTAGAATTGAATTTGCTCAGTAGCTTCTGGTAGTGCAGAGACTTCTCGTCCAGACCATCGTCGAGAACCTCCCTGAACCATTTCTGGACCTCGTATATCTGCTACCTTCAAAGTCCTCGAGTGTGGTTTAAAAGAAAAAATATTGCGCGGGAAAATACTGCGGGGGTCATTTCTGAGCAAAACAAAAAGATGAAGAAAATAAGAAGCTCTCTAAGACGTTGAAGATTCGTATTTTCCCAATTAAAACTCATTCATAATTTCAAATGCAGTCTTTCCCTACGAAAACGCATTGCGAAACTTGAACGAGATAACCTTAAACACATCTTGGAATTGTACAGGGCAATCCCTATGCAAAAACCTCTGGATGTTCTGTTAATTTTTTTCTAATTTGGATCCTAAGACGAAATCGGAACTTTAAACTGCAGTGATTTTGATATTTCGGTTCAAACGTTGAAAATATCTGCAGTCATCAATGAAACTTCACAATACGTGTGATTGTGTTTCTCTGTCCAAAATACAGGTGAAGAATCACCAAAAGGCCCAATTCCCCTAGGTATGGAAAGTGGAGTTATTACTGACTCGCAGATCAGTGCATCGTCCGTGCACAGTAATAAACATGTCCCACAAAATGCTAGGTTACATTTCAAGGGGGCCAAAGCTCCGTTGGCGTTTGTACCTGCTGGCTGGCGAGCTGGTGTGCGAAACACCAACCAGTGGCTGCAAGTGGATCTTCAGCAAACCACTAGGGTAATAGGCATAGCGACGCAGGGGAGACATGATTGGGATCAGTGGATTACTAAATACAAGCTACAATATAGCGATGATGGACAAACTTACAGTGTCTACCGGCGAAACGGTGACACATCAGACACGGTATGAATTCGAATGACTTTCTGAACGAGATGTTTTTTTTTCTTGCTGCGAGGGTGGGACAACGAAAAACAATTAAGAGTTCCCATGAGTTATAGAACCTCAGAGATTTGAATTCTGCGCTTCAATGCCCTAACGCTACGCCACAGCGACTTTACAGGCAGCTGAGCCATTACGAGGTTCAGCTGAGCTATTACGAGGTGCATCATATGTTCAAACATGATCTTTCCTCTTTTTGCTTTTTGTGAAGTCGAGATACTTGAGAACGCTAGAGAACGAGTAGTAGAATTTAGTGAGATCAAACTGTATTAGTTTATATCTATATTTGTGTTTGATTGCTGATGAACATCTAGAAAAGCATCAACTAAGGTTCTAGGTTTAGAGTTAGCGCTCCTGTGTAATGCATACCTTCGTCAACTTTACATCCAACAATATTCTACTCAGGTTTTTCCAGGAAACACTGACAGGGACACAGTTGTGTATCACGATATTAACCCGGTCATTGATGCTCGCTTCGTTCGAGTTCTTCCGATGGATTGGTTTGGCGCCATCGGAATGAGAATGGAGCTTTACTCTTGTCAAAGTAAGTTACTGGCTGGATTATTGTGCTTCACTCTAAGAAATGATCAACATAAAACTTCTCCCTTTAATATAAAGGAAAACACCATTTAACTTGGCGAAATGCGAGGCAATAGCGCGCGTACACGACGCGTTCTATCCACTTACGCAGGTTTCACGTGTTTCTTATAACATCCTCTTCAACTGTCCTATTACACTGTCCAATTACAAGCATGATGCGTACACTGTCCTCTAAGTGATCAAATAAGGCTAGTGATAACGAAATACCTTCAAACATTTTTTCATTCTTTTGATTACATACGTAATTGCAATATGGCAGTGAAGCTCAAACATTTTATATGGCATCCCCAACCCTAACCCTAAACCCTAAACCCTAGCCCTAACCCTAACCTAACCCTTACCCTGAGCAATTTTTTAAGTAATGAACATGTAACTTCTTTTTAGCGTTTATTTTCAGAATACGTCATCCAGCGAGCATACAGATGAAAAGATGAGATGAATCTATCAGCTGATAGGTACTTTTTCTAAAAGAGCACCAAATTTTCTGAACTTGCACTATGTCTACTGGTAAACGTATAATAGCTGAAAGGATGAATTTTCAATCAAATCTTGAAAGTCTAACGGTTAAGGCGGGGGAACTGAAATAAATGGCATTGAAATATATTGTGCATGCTCGCTTATGATGTTTTGTCTCCATATTTTCTTATTTGTAGACGAATAACAGAAGTTTACGAAGAATATCACTGTGATGTAATCCCTCCTTTGCTGACACGATGTAATCCTTGTTTGTGGGCTACAAAGTGCAACACCTACTTGACTGATGCACCAATTAATTATCGTTATTAATAACAGATTGAATAGTAGTTTAAGCGTATAAGTCATTATTATTAATGATGTGAGCGAAATGCACCAATGGCAGCACATAAAAACGCACCTGTGAAAACGAACGAACGAATATTCTCTTTTTGGAGCCTCATGTTCAATTAACCTCAGTGCCTGACGAAGACCAAAGGTGTGGTGTTCGAAATGTAGCTTATGTTTGGATGGCCTCGATGAAAACCAAGGTAGTGTCTTGTAATAAAATATGTAATTTTTCATGGTCTCTTAACTACTTCAACAAGGTAATTGGTTTTGTTTCGTTGGAAATGGATACATAAGTCAGTGTTCATTATGAAAAGAGCGGCAAGGAACCTCTGATGAGTTGGCATGCCGTTAAAACGTGTTTACCAAGTGTTTTAGTTAAACCTGCCAAAATGCAAATGAATATCGCGTGTGAGTGTATACTCAGATAGCCAGAGATATTATGCTTTGGAATTGTTGAAAATTAATAGCACAATAAAGGAACTTTGTACAGCTGTAAAGGTTCAGAAACTGGTATTACACTTCTTAGGGCGAAACTGGTATTGATTAATAATTATAATAATAATGATAAAAATATTGATAATAATAATAATAATAACATGATTAAAAATTGGCATTGAACACCTTGGCTCTTCTAGTCCGCAACAGGAAAATATTGAAAGTCCTTAATTTTTCGCGACAGACGAATCTGAGATTAATATGATAAAAATACTTCATTTATATAATGCTATTTCTATCGCTATCCAATAGCGCTATGCAATTATTTGAAAATATCTCACGTAGAAATATCTAGAACATGAGTACGATAAACTAACTAATAAAATAACTAAGCTGTCAAAATTAGTATAAAAACTAAGAATAATAAAACCTCGTAATGAAATTTACTAACTAACTAACTACCTACCTACCTACCTACCTAAAGAACTATTTAACTGACGAACCAATAGTAAAATATCTGGTTAAAAAGCTTTCCTAAAAAGATGTGTTTTAAGATTGCGCTTGAATTGCAACAAATTGACGCTTGAACGGATTTCCAGCGGCAGCGCGTTCCAGAGTTTAGCCGAGGCTATAGAAAATGATCTTGAACCATATCTGGTAAGTTTGTAAACAACGTCAACCAAACGATGGCCATTAATTGATCTTAAATAGCGTCTGGGCACATATTTTGTTATAAGATCGCAGAGGAATGTTGACGCTAAGCGGTTCAAACATTTAAATGTCAATAAAAGAATCCTAAAACAATGCGCTCTTTCAATAGGCAACCAGTGGAGTTTACAAAGTACTGATGTTATATGATCACATTTACGCGTATGAGTAACAATCCTGGCTGCTGCATTTTGAACGCGCTATAGTTTCCTGAGTGATTCCTTTGGTAGACCATACAAATATAAGTTGTACAGATGATGTACTGATATATAATAATACTGATAAATATTGTAATAAAATACGGATACTGTATCAGTGTTCTCCCTTATTTTAAGCATGACAGGTAAAATAAATTTTCAAACCGGTAAAGCAATCCTTTTACCTGTTGAATTTCAAGAATTCCAAGCAATTCTAAACGGTAATAAGAGGCACTACAGGCGGTAAATGTTACCGGTTACCGCCTGAAAAGGAGAACACTGGATACTACAATAGACTGACACTAAATTAAAGAATAGTTCCCTTGTTTAAAGTCACTGAACTGACCTTAATGCTCACACTTAGCGTTTATAGGAGTTCACGCATTTTACATCGCATTACTTAAACTTTTAGCAGTGATAAAAATGAAACTTATCCCTAGGTTCTTAATACATAACCTTAAAGCAGGCGAGAAAATGAGATGAATCTATCAGCTGATGGGTTTTGTATCTGATTGAGCATCAAATTATTTGAACCTGTTTACAAATAAAAGTATAGGAGCTGAAAGGAAGAATTTTCAATTAGATCCTGAGAGTCTAACGGTTAAGGCAGGAGAATTGAGAAAAACGGCCAAAACTATCTTGTACGTTCTTATTAATACTGTTTTTTTTCTTATTACTTTTCATTTTGTAGCCGAATAACAGCACTTTAAAAAGAATGTCACTGTGATTTAATCCCTCCGTTACTGACACGATGTGATTGTTGATTTTGGTTTCCGAGAATAGTAGCTGCTGGACTGATTAGCTAGTTAATTATTGACAGTTTTAGCTTAATAGTCTTTCTGATTCATGATAGAAGCAAAACGCACCCGTGGCAGCACATTAAAACGCACCTGTAAAAACGAATGAACACGCTCTTTTGGAGTCTCGTATTCTGAATCGACATCAATTTCCAACTAAGACATCATTTCAGTCTTCTATTTTGCGCAGACATTAACCACTGTGTAGAAAACCCTTGTCTAAAGGGTGGATTGTGCAGGAATATTGCTAATGAGTACAAGTGCACCTGTTCTGATGGATACACCGGCAGCCATTGTGATCAAGGGGGATGGACGGCTTTTTTATACTAAACGGATATACTACCGCCATTAGAGCGACAACGTTAAGGACGCTAGATCGTTGTTTTATTTTTATCCATCCTTTTGTTTTTATCCGCTTCTGCAGAAATACCACAATATTCTCTGATATGCAGATGTTGTTGGGATATTTTCCGTATAGATCTAATCTTTTGAGTGTGTTAGTTAGCAGCACGAACTGCTGCGCCATGTTCAACTTCTTGACAGCTTACATACTGTGATTGAAAATAACAACATTGCTTACATAAACTTTTTAAAATTAGTTCAGTTTCCGGCTTGGGCATACAAAGGCGACTTCACTGAAAGCTAACCTAACCTAACTTCTTTGACATTGCAAACTGTTGGATGCTAAGCTTACAGAATGAAAGATTTGAAGGTGAATCCTGATAGTCGGCTAACATGTAAGTTAAAGCGATATGAGACAAAAGATTTTCATTTTCGGCAGATGTCGAGAGTTAAGAGAGATCAGCCACTTATTTTTGCAGAGTTTGATTGGGAGTAGAATCGCATTTATCCTCGACTCAAGTATGACTGGCTATGTGTAGTTTACTATAAAGTGTGTTTTATTTATGAGAATAAGTGTTGGTTACGTAGAGAGTTTTTATTTTAAGACAATAAGTGCTGAATAAATTATAAAGAAACTGCCGGATACCAATTATCATTCCAACAACTGCATTGAAGTTTCCATAGTTTACAACAACAGCATTTGAATGATAACAATTGATAAAGTGGATCTGAAATTTTAACCGGGTATCAATTATCATCTTCACAATGGCAGTAAGGCCTTTCGAGTTAACCAGAACATTTAAATGACAACAACTAATAAACTAGATTTGAATTTTAAGGGGAGGCGAAATTCACAGTTTTGTTTTGTTTTTGATTTCTTTCCTTGAATAAGATGATATATTTCAGTGTTTATTAAGACAGAAATGGCTGACGAAATTAACACTTCACACGGACAAATATATTTCTCTTTAACATTTACTTAACGATTACAATATTAATTATTCTGTTATTCAGCTCTCAGAGCATCCTTTCAATTAGCCCGTCCATTGTCATAATTGGAAAGAAATGTATTAAATAAACATCTATGGACTCCTTTTAAATTAATTAAAATCTTCCCGAAGCTGTTACAAAGTTGACTATATGCACCGAAGGCCGAATTATCGACCGAAAAAAATCTGAAATGAATTTTTTTCTGTGTGCTGTTTTAATTGTGTTATTATTGTCCGAGGTCATAGCATCTCAAGCATTTCTTTGTAAGGAAGCGTCTCTTTCTTGTCCTGTGATAACTCGCAATCATCGCCGACTCAAAGGCTTTACGCTCAAAACATTTCACTTTGCAAGCCTGATATCCTGTGGTTTGCTATGTCAGAGAAACCCTCGATGCGTTTCAACAAATTTCAGAAAAGTTTCCAAAACTGAGGGAACCTGTGAGCTGAACGACAGAGGAGTCTTCCCTCTTGAGGAAGGAAAAGAACTGGAATATGACGAAGAAGCTATTTACACTCAATTATATGTCAAAAAGGTAACAAAAATTTGTCTTATCTATTTTAAGTAATGATCCATGCAAGAGGTGGGCATCTTAAAAAAGTGTGTATGTGTCTATCTACTGGAACACATCTAAATAAAAGACGGACAAGCTACGATCTTCTCTTTGTCACGAGAAGGGAACTAGCTTACTGATGAATTCTCTGTTAGAGGAATATCAGAACACGAAAGCCTCTGACCTGAGATTTTATTTTATTCTTGACATCTCAGTCTGGTAAATACTTATCTTTTCGACGTTAGAAGTAAACATTTATCATCTGTCTCAGTAATGCGTCTATCCCTTGATCCCTGTCAAGTTATAGTATGGTGCAATGTCGGGTTTTCGTCTCTCTTTATAAATGCGAGTGGAGAATGATTAGCGGCGTTACTGCGAATGTTGACTTAAAAAAATAAAATAGGCTACTTTCCAAATTTTCTGTATCTTTAAAAAAATGATACTTGCAAAGTGTTCCGAAGCACTATAAGATTAATTGTGTTGAGTCTTCTCAAATAATTTTGTGGATTGAAAGAGGGTAACATTTATTTGAGACACAAAATTGTAGTTTTGGCTTTAGGCTAAAAATTTAAAGATGAGTTTCTATTTGATTATTAACAAGGATGACTAGTTGATTTCCTGATTAAAAAAAAATATATTTTCATGTCTGAGCAGCATAACTGTCAAGTTTTCAAGGAAGAGTTTAAAGTCGTCAGCTACAGATGTAAGTAAAGCTGAGTAGAAAAATAATCTTAAAATTAATGTCTAAGATCCTGTACTTACACCACTGAGGAGTTACTCGTCTCAGCTGCCTCTTGTCCTTGTGTCAAGAAGCCTCCCGTCAATGAGTGTCCCATCGTGATGAACCTCCCCGAACCATTTCTGGACCTTATCTGCTTCCTTCAAAAAAAAAAGGTTGAAAATAATAAGAAGCTGTCTAAGACGTTGAAGATCTGTATTTTCCCAATTAAAAGTCATTCATAATTTCAAATGCAATTTGTGCTTACGGCAACGCATTAAGCACATCTGGGGATTTTACGAGACAATCCCTATCCAAAAACACCTCAGGATACTCCGAAGGTGCCGCGGTATTATATACCGTCCGGGGGTACGAGATGACCTTAACCATGACTTGAAGTTTAGAGACTTTTAACATACGGAGAGTTCTTACCTGTTAATTTTTTTCTTATTTAAATCCTTGAAAAGAAGTCGAAACTTTAAACTGCACTGATTTTTATATTTCTGTTCAAATGTTGAAAACATCTGTAATCAGCGGTAAACTTGTCAATATGTGATTATCTTTCTCTGTCTAAAATACATGTGTGGAATCACCAAAAGGCCCAGTTCCCTTAGGTATGGAAAATGGAGTTATTACTGACCCGCAGATCAATGCATCGTCCATGCATAATTATAAGCATGGCTCGCAAAATGCAAGGTTACATTTCAAGGGAGACCCGTTGACGTATGTATCTGCTGGCTGGGCAGCTCGTCTGCTAGACACCAAACAATGGCTGCAAGTAGATCTTCAGCATATCACAAAGGTAATAGGCATAGCGACGCAAGGGAGACATGATGCAAATCAGTGGGTTACTAAATACAAGCTACAATACGGCGACGATGGACAAACTTACAGTGTCTACAGTCGAAGCGGAGACACATCAGAAACGGTATGAATACTAATGACTTTTTGAACAAAATGTTTTTTTTTTTTCTTCTTGCTGGGAGGGTGGGACAACGAAAGAAAATCAAGAGTCCCTAATAGAGCAATAGAACCTGAGACCTTAGAATTCTTCACTTCAATTCACTAACGCTACACCACAGCCACCTGACAGGCAGCTGGACTATTACGAGGTCCATCATATATTCAAATATGAGCTTTTCTTTTTTGCTTTTGGTGGGTCTGAGACGAAGTCGATTAGTAGAAATTAGTGAGATCAAACTCTGTTAGTTTATATCTATATTCATTTTTGATTGCTAATGAACATGTAGAAAAGCATCAACTAAGGTTCTCGGTTTAGAGTTACCGCTCCTGTGTAATGCATACATTCGTCAATTTTACATCCCATAATATTCTACTCAGGTTTTCCCAGGAAACACTGACAGAGACACAGTTGTGTATCACGATCTTTACCCGGTCATTTATGCTCGCTTCGTTCGAGTTCTCCCTATGAAATGGTCTCTTCACATCGCAATGAGAATGGAGCTTTACTCTTACTCTTGTCAAAGTAAGTTACTAGTTGAACATTTTATCCCTTGCTGGATTATTGTGCTTAACTCTCAGAAATGATCAACACGAAACTTCTCCCTTTAATATCCTTACATTATCCAGCAAACAGGCGATGAGAATATTCAAACTTATCAGGTAGAAGTTATCTTGATCTTACACCAACTTCTCATGACTAATTTACAAGGATATGTGTAGCTGCTAGAGGGGAGAATTAACAATCAGATCTTGGGAGTTAAACGGTTAACGGGTTTTACGCAGAGACGTTCAACCCTCACAACGACTCCTTCCAACAAGTGAAATCAAAGGATCAGTGTACCGGCAAGGGGGGGTGGGGGAGAGAAATGGAGGTGGGGCAAAGGGGAAACTCAGCGCAATGGACTGGTTTTCATTAAAGAGTAGTCCCCAGGTCTAAGGCCAGTTATAATGGTAATTGGACTGGGTGGAATTCAATACGGTCGCTAATCATACAGGTGATAATTAAAATCAGACGAACGCGAAGCAAGAGTTCGATTTGTCAATTACGAGTATCATTACCAGAAAGAATTGGACGACTCGAAGTCCTGTTACCAATTAATCAAAACATTTTGGAAAGAGACTGGACCTTTATATTAAAAACAACAGTTAAATCGGCGAAATGCGAGACAACAGCGCGCGCACATGACGCGCTTTGTACACTTACGCAGGCATGTCAAGTTAATTGTCCCTTTAACTGTCCCATTAAACTGTCCATTTACAAGCATGACGCGTACACTGTCCTTCAGTGCTCAAATCGGGTTGGTGATAACCAATCACGTTGGAGAATTTTGTTATGGTTTTGATTACATACGTAATTGCAATATGACAGTAAACCTCAAACATTAAATATGTCATCCTTTCAATTTTTGCAGTAATGAGCATGTAACTTCTTTTTAGCGCTTATTTTTAAATACATTATCCAGCGAGCATGCAGATGAAAAGATGAGATAAATCTATCGGCTGATAAGTATTTTTTCTGATAGAGCACTAAATTTTCTGAACTTGCATGTTTACTGGTGGAAGTATAGGAGCTGAAAGGAAGAATTTTCAATCAGATCTTGGGAGTCTAACGGTTAAAGTAAGGGAATTGATTGGCATCGAGCTATATTTTGCGTGCTTGCTTATGTTGTTTTGTCTCCTTATTTTTCATTCTGTAGACGAGTAACAGAAGTTTACGAAGAATATTACAGTGATGTAATCCCTCCTTCGCTGACACGATGTAATCCTTGTTTGTGGGCTACAAAGTGGAACAGCTTCTTGACTGATGCACCAATTAATCATTATCATAACAGATTAAATAGTAGTTTAAGCATATTAGTCATTATTATTCATGATGTTAGCGAAATGCATTGATGACAGCCCATCAAAACGCACCTGTAATAAAAACGAACGAACGAATATTCTGTCGTTGGAGCCTCATGTTCAATTAACCTCACTGCCTGACGAAGACCAAAGGTGTGGTGTTCGAAATGTAGTTTATGTTTGAATGGCCTCAATCATACATGTCCAATAAATCCAAACCGCTACAATTCGTCTATGGTCGCTGACGAATCAACACACCGGAAGTCGAATCGTGCGTCAACATACTGGAAGTGGAGGGTGGCAAGCAATGTGTGAAAATGAGTAGCATGGTATACCGGAAGTCCAATCGTGCGTCAACATACCAGAAGTCAAGGGGCGTGAGCAATGTTTGAAAATGAGTAGTATGAAAAGAGAAAATGACAACATGAACCTTCCACGTTCTTAAAGCGTGAAACGGCCGGAAGTCCATTGTCAGAATATTATCAATATTAAAATGAACCTTCTTCCTTCCTAAAGCGTTAAATAGGGGCATTGAATGTTGACGAATCGACACGATTCGTACGGGTCGACACGACTCGTCATCAGTAAAGTCGATCCGTCTCACCGGAAGTCGATTCGCAAAAGAAGACAATACATACTTATGCGTTAAATTAGGGTATTCGTTCGATTCGAGAAAATCTGCAACCCCCTTTTGTAACCACTTGCGGAATATTTTCTAAGTATCTTGCAAATCGACTTCCGCTGTGACGGGTCGACATCAACTGTGACGAGTCGTTCGATTCGAGTCGAATCGAGTCGATGCGACAATATCTCCAACTTCCTTTCGTAGTTACTCGCCGAATATTTTCTAAGTGTCTTGCAAATCGACTTCCGGTATGACGGGTCGACATCAACCGTGACGAGTCGTTCGATTCGAGTCGATTCGACAATACTTGTAACCCCCTTTCGTGGCCACTTGCGGGAAATTTTCGAAGTGTCTTTCAAATCGACTTCCGGCATGACGGGTCGACATCAACTGTGACGAGTCGTTGGATTCGACAACATTTTCAACGACCCTTGGTAGTTACTTGCGGAATATTTTCTCAGTGTCTTACAAATCGACTTCCAGTGAGACGGGTCGACTTTAACTGTGGCGAGTCGTTCGACTCTATTCGAACTTGAGATATATATGAGATATATATGGGTTATTAACAAGTGTGAGATTAACAGGGCCGGATATTGACTAATTTTCTTCTGTTGTATATTCGTTTTCGAACCTCAATTTCGTCTTAGTTCATAAAAATCCAAAAAGATTGAGAGCAGATTCAGTCACTTGGTAAGATTTCTTCCGTCGGAATGGCATTCTCACATAACTGTAAGAGTTGAACTTTACATGTGTTATAATGAGAATCTTTAGTCTACTCTTTTACACTTTTAAAAGTTATTGGACACTTTCGAGCCCCCATTTCCTAAAAGTTCAGTTGCGGTGTCTCTGTTTGGCGGACTGACGATTTGGCAGGACAATTTTAAATAACAACTACGGTCCCATGGTCCCCCTTCCATTATCGCCACTGGAGATCTGGGAACTAGGTTGAAAGGAGAGGTCACAGAAAGAAGACTGCTTAGATAACTTAAGGGGTACTTCAAGCTGGAATTTGCAGATTGAGGAAACGGAAGGAGCGGGGGACAAGTTTCCTCTATTCCATGTTAAATTTAAAGTCCCTCCTTCTTAGTCACAGCTACTGAGATTAAAGTTATTTATCAAGCATCATCATAAACTCCACTGGTCATACAAACTGGTTTCATTTTCGGTAGGGATTGAAGGTCAGAGGTACCTGGGACAATTTAATCATCAATTCTGTTGGTACTTGATTAAGCGGGCAAGTTCGCGGAGGATGCAAGAGTATAGTCTCCTCTGAGTGACCGAGGAGATTGGTCCTTGAAGCTTAAGAAGAGCGACTATTGTCAAAGGAGATTCGGATATTTTCGTCACTTTTCAAGAGTTCTTACCAACCTTTAAACTGCGAATCAAAACAAATCGGGGAACATTTGTAACTCCAGTTTGTAAAATTTGTCATCGTAAGCAAATTCTAATGGTCATTTAGTCTCAGAGCGAACTGAAGAATTGTAACGAAAGCAGGACGGAAACTGTCAAAGGTTCAATTGCTAAAAGCCTGTTCCTGTTACACGAGATGGACGGCAATAATAGTGGGAAAGGTGTACTCTTAAAAGAATGTATATCAAGTAACATTTGTTCCCCAAGTGTGAGGTTAACTATCGGGCATAATTGTAACAAACCGAAGATAAAATAAACACGCACTTTTTCTGAGAGGAATACCGGTTTTTAGATGCTAATTGAGAGAGAAATAATGACGCCCATAGTTTTCTTTTAAATAAAAAACTTCGTTTAGTATACTTAAAAATTCTGGGGCGTTTCAAGCTTTCTACTGTTGTCTCATGATGGGGTTTTTGTTTTCCATTTTTTTCCGGTCGAAAGTGGTAAGTGATTTGACCTGGGGGGTGCATCCCAGAATAACCCCTCCCCTGGCAGAAGATCCCCAGAATACCCCTTCTCTCCTTGGGAATTAATCACTATCAAAATCTGAAGTGAACACACTTTACTGCGTGGCATTCGAGATAACACCACAGGAAAAATAACTTACAACAACCCTTCTATGTCGGCTAAGATCATAATCTCAGCCAGAGGGGCTAATTATCATGGCCGAATTTGAGAAGAATTTCTCCTATGAGGCTTCCAACAGCCGATCCTTCTGCGCTGGAGGAGTCCGTCGGCAGTCCTTGCAGAACATGAATGAGTCTTTGCAAACTGTTTCCTTCCAAATAATTGCTCTGTATATTGGGAGAAACTAATCGTTTGATAATTCGTAAAAGCTGTTTTTGTTTCTTAACGTCAGCGGCGCTCAAAGCCTCCGCAAAGCACTCCATGTTTTCCGCGCTTAGAGAGTCCTCATAAATCCCTCCAAAAAGTTCCACCATTAGATACAAGCACCTACAAGAACTGTCTCTCACATCCAGGTCCTCGTGACAGAGAAAGTTGATAAGCAAGCCAGTCATGTCGACCAGCGGTTTACTCTCCACAAGGAGCTTCTCCGCCAGTTGCGTCTGAGCCTCGTTGTCTGGTCTCGCCTCAGTCTTCGCCTGCAGAGCTTTGCGTACTTCTCTGGAGACGAATTTCAACGTGTTATTCAAAGCATCGAAAAGGGGAAGCAACAGCGCCACTGAGGGGTCATTTCCAGTAAAATTTTCCTCGTTTTGTGCCGACGCAACGTCAACGAAAACGGAAACGAGGATATCGATTAAACCTTGGTCGTATAACAAAGAAACGTCAACATCTTTGGCAGAAACCAAACAGTCCAGTAAACCAACTGTACTCAGCACCATTCCCCTGTCGACTCGGTCGGTGTGGGACTGTAGGATCTGGGACATGGTAAGAAGAAGCTTTTGATCCACAACTGTGTGGATGATGTCGGGGCTTCTTTCCAAGAAAGATAGCAACAGTTTAAGACCATATGCTGGTAAAGGATCTTGGTCTTGCAGGATGAGATGATACTGAGGCAGTAAGTGATTATTAATAACCTACGAGAAATCAATGACAACAAGTACATTACCACTTAAAAAGAGGCCTTCTTTAAAAACGCCAGACGCAAAATGTTTCCACTAGATGAATTTAAGGCTTGGACTAAAAAAGGAAAGTGCAGTAATTAATTACAATAAAGAACTCTTCCATGCAGAAAAACTCTAAGGAAGAGAGAGCATCTCACCTCATTTAGTTTGCTGGTACTTTTCAACACATCTTCAACATCACTGGAGGAATTGTACACATTATGGTTATCAAGATACAGCGACGCTACATCGGCAAACATTCTGAAGCTTAACACTCGTGTATCTCCATTTGTACTGCTCATCAGAGCAGCCAGATGAGGCAGGATGTGTTGTGTGACAACAGCGTGATACTCCAGCAGTATAGGAGGGTGTTGCGTGATTGCTTCCGCAATAGACAACACCACGCTGATAAGGTCTTCTGCTGCGTTCGGTCCCGCTGCTGATCCAATGCTGGTGCTTCCAGAATCAATTGAAGTCACATGCGACAGAAGCAAGCCGACATTGACGAGAAATTCTTCATTTGTTACTTGAGAACGAAAAGCGTGACTTGTAACGAGGTGCAGAATGATGGACAACAGTGGAAGGTTTGTCCGCAGCTGCTTGGCGTGACTCGCCGAGGGGTGCTTCCTTCCTTGAACCGCATCCAGAGACGCCAACACATCCAACAGGATCCCGGGTACCGCTTCAACGATGGCGGACATGCAAATATTCTGACACTGCACAAGATAGTCTCGATTCTCCCGGCTCTCGCCTTTAATTGGGGTACCTCTCTTTAGCTGCCGCTCGATGTACATGACCAGCCGGGACTGGCAGCACATGAGGAGGGCTTCCGGGCTGGACTGGATCAAGGTTAGGACCAGAAGGAAGGCCTTTCCCCGGATAACCATGGATGGACTCTCAAACAGATGAAGACCCTTGGTAGCCAGGTCTCGTTCTTGAACAAGCCTTCGCATCTGAGGTCTGTTAGAAAGCAGCACGACGAACATTGTAACTAAACCTTGCTGGATCTTAGGAATGCTGCTGGCCAAGGCTGTGCTTACTGCTTTGAAACCTGCCTTCTCAATCACATGTTGGAAGACTGTAGGTGATTTAATTGTCAAGCGACTGAGCGCTGAAATCGCTGTCACCTTCTGAGCATCAATGGTACAGTGAGTGAAGAAATTCCAAAGAAGCTGCGCAAAGATAACGATAAAATAAGATATGATTTGTAAACCTCACTTCTATCAGGACAACACCATCTACCTGATTTTTTAGTTCATTCTCATGACCTCTTTGTTGATAACGCTCTATCATCATAACTATGTCTTTAAAGAAAATTCTCCCAATTGTACCTTTTTGCGATTAAATTGTTTTCTCTTGCAATTAACACAAAATTGCTCAATCGCCACTCAGTTCTCGAGGAGTAAATTAGTTAACTCCGAATCTTGATTGGCTTTCGTAATTACTTCGGTTCTGATTTATTCCGATGATCAGCCATGACTGGTTCTAATCCTCTAAGTTTCAACGTTTATTTAGTTTTTACCTGAGCCGTGTCATTTGTGGCAAATTTCGTGCAATGTCTGCCATGGGTTGACGCCACGTTCTCAATGGCTTTAGCAGCAAAGTGCTGCACCGCGATATCTTCTCCCTCATGTAGACATCTGGTGACAATAGTGAATGTGACTCCTAAAGGAAATACAACCAAGTTGTAATTGCAAAGTACATTTGCCGCCTCCGTATATACCTGGAAGTAAAACTACGACATACTTCCAAGTTCCACTTCAAGGGCATCGTGAAAGAACTGAGTAATGAGTACAGCATGAGTTTCGCTCAGAACGATGGATGTCCATCCCAGAGGTTTAAAGTAAGTTGAGATTCATGTCCGTGTTGTTGTCTGCAGATTTCAACCACTAGACTATGTCCGTTAAGTTTCAAAATTTATTTATAGGCATTTGACGAACATGAAGTAGAACAATACTACAAGATGAGAAAAGGACTATGAACATATGAAAATCATATAATTTATTTGAACTGCGGAATAATAAATGAAGATGAAAGTGATCTTCCCGGTAATGAACATTACTGAAGCAGTAGTGAAAATAAAAGCCTGAAAAAAAATTCAGACCAGTACGGGATTTAAACCCATGATCTCTGCAATAGCGTTGCAGTGCTCTACAACCTGAGATAACAAGCCAGCTGGGAGCTGGTCATTTTGTTGGTTTGTAATAAACCCCCGATGGAAGATTTGGTTTGTTTGCGTTGCATTCAATCGTTTGCCTACACATCCTTTCAAATTCTTTGTCCATCTGTATGTCATTATTTGAACACTGGACTAATAAAAGTGACGCGTGTAATTAGGGCACGTTTGATTGCATTTCCATAATCAGACGTTTACATACATGTACCTGACAACTAAAAACAACAACACCTAAATGCTTAAAGAAGGCCTGTTGCAATTACCTTATCTGTATGAGGCTGACCCTCTGAACACATTACCTGGAACGTCCCATTGTGGAATTTCACCTCCTAAATTTTCCTCCTGAGTCGCAGCATAAAACAGAAACTCGCCCAGGGCAGGCAAAAGATGTTGCTTGAGCTTGGCATTCCGAAAGTTGTCTCTGATCACCTCTGTTAATACTGTGAACACTTCTGTCATGTTGAAGTCCTCAGAAATCATTGTAGCATTACCAGCTAAAAGACTGAGAGCATATCCTTTCAAATAACAATAAAAAATGATCAATTCATCATTTTAGGAGTTTTGATACCTTTTTCCATAAATGGCTGCCAATGATTTAATAGGTACCGGTGCCCTACAAAGACCCCAAAAGCAAAATGCAGGCATGAGAGCCTGCTTGCAAGCTAAACAGACCGCAGTAGGCGGGCTTACAGGCCAAGGAAGACACAGCCAGTAACCAGCTTTCATGGAGACCCCTGCATTTAGTGCACATCCTAGGAATTTGGTGTGAACCCAAACAATATCCACTGGCTTGAAATTTTCCTTATCTCTCTACCAGTCTGTTTGACATTGTACTACAATTCTGAGGAGAAATCAAGTATTGATCACTCTTGGGAGTGTAGGGGTTTATTCATCCGATGCTATTGAAACTGGGGTTAAGTAATGCTTCAATAAACCACTTGGCATTGGGTACATAGACTAAAACTTTTAATCTCTGTTATGCAGAAAACTAACAACTGTATGCTTCTATTAGCTGATGGCCAGGGCAGGTTGTTCAAAGCTAGGCAGACAATCCTGGGTTAATGTTAGATCTTAATTCAGATCTGGAGGTTTTCAAAGAAAATTCAATACAATTCTTTTTGTCTAAACTTTCATTACAGTATTAGGTGCTTTAAAAAGAATACAGAAAAATATCCTGAAAAGGCTTTTGAACAAAGGAATAAAAGAAAGCTGAATGAAAATTTAACCTTGGCTTTGCCCCAATTGGCCTTTGAACAACTGGGCCCAGGAATATACTTGGCAGAGTTTACAGACCTTAGAAACATACTATCATACTCAAAATGGGGTATGGGTAGCACATGTTGTTCATGACACTTACCAAGTCTTGATTTGAAATCAGCTGAAAAACCAGACTTGATCTGTCTCAGCATCACTGGTATAAAATCTGAATCAAAGACTTCATTAACAATCTCTCCATCTCGGCACAGTGATGCCAAATAAGATGCTGTGTGTAATTTGCTTCGGTGAAGAGAGGCAACAGGGCCAGCATTTGCTCTGTCATTTTGACTCAACAAACTGCTAATGGAAGTTAAATGCTCTTCAAATTTTTCTCTTGGAAGGTCCACAAGCTCTCCTGGTTTTAGAGGTTGACAAGGTAGTGCCTTTGAATCCCATTTGGGAAGGGAAAATTTCTTTATGCGAGGGTTATCAGCAATTGGTGTCACGATAAAATCTGATGGATGACTCACTAAATCTGAAATTTTGTTATGAGTTGGACTTCTGTTGTCTTTAACCTGCTGATCCTGAAGTACTGAACTTGTAGATTCCTGAGCTTCACTTTGATTAAGTCCATTCTGTTTCAGCTTATTGAAGTCAGATTTTTTGAACGTTCGATTTTGTTTCACCAGGTTTGACTTATTGTTCTTTGATTCTGAAGTTCCAAAAACTACATTTGTTGAATCTCTTTTTGCATTTTTAGTTGAGTTGGACTCACTCTCATCTTGATCATCTAATGTTTTTCTTCTGACCACTGTATGGGTTTTGCCTAGAGATTCATTTTCCTTACTACCTGAAGCAGGATCAGCTGTATGTGGCCTGCTGCTGAAGGTATATGTTCCCTGCCTGACGATCTGTGCTGGCAGATGTAATTGATCACTCTTGGTTTTGACATGTTCTTTCTCTTCTCCAACATTTCCACTGTGTAACTCTTCACTCTTTCCTTCATCATTTAATTCTTGCTGATCTTCAGTTTCTGCTTCCCCTTTGATTCCATCAGCAGATTTAAACTGATTTTCTAATTCACCTTGCCAAAAGCTGTGTACTATCAAATCTTTCCAGTCTAAACGCTGTGTAGGATCTTTCTCTAACAGTCTTTTTATTACATTGTCAAGGTCATGTAATGCTCCATTTTTTGCACCTTCCATGTCTAATCTCAGATGAGGGACATTTTCGTGAAAAATTTTTGTGACAAGTTCTGCAAAAGAATCTGCAACAAAAGGTTTTTCTCCTGAAAACAATTCATACAACACGCACCCAAATGACCACAGGTCACTTTCTTTAGAATGAGGACCCCCACTGAGTACTTCAGGGGCCATATAGTGGGGTGAAGGTTTGGGTCGCTGGCTTTGATCCTTCTCTGTATCTCTATAATTTTGGCCCTCGTCGTCAGAATTTTGTTCTTCTTGTAAACTGTCATAGAAGTCGTCCTCTCCTTCAACTCTGGCCAGTGCAAAGTTACTGAACTTCAAGACACCTGCTCCATCGAGCATTATCCTTGATGGTTTCAAATCACAATAAAGAATTCCAAGGGAGTGAATGTAGTACAATGCTTTTGCAATTTCAATTCCAAATTGCCTGACAGTTTCCACTGGTAGACGTTTATCTTGAGACAGGACGGCGTCCAAACTGTCTCCTGTACATAACTCCACCACCATCCAGATGTGATTTGTTGTCTCGTACCATTCACGAAATTTGACAACATTTAGATGATCCATCTCGTGGGTCAGTCTGACAATGTTTCGAAGCTCCAGTCGCTTGCATTTTTCAACACAGTGTATCGCTACAAATTCAATTGTTCCTTTCTTACGACCTTTGTAAACCACAGAGTGTTCTCCTCTACCAACTTCGTCGTACAGTATGTAATTCTCCATGTTGATAAAGGTAGCAGATCCCGCCTTTTTAATATATTTGTCCCCTATAAATATTTTAAAATTTGTAAACAACCGTTCCCCGAATCGACCGCCATTTATTAACTCAATGATACTGTTGTACTATGGGTAATGCCGTGACCATTCTCCCTTCCTCTGGGGGGTGATGTGCAATTTTCAAGAAGAAAGCATGGCGGACGATCACGGGTAAAGTTGATGTAATTCAGCCAGGACAGTTTTTTGTCGACAATGTCGGAATTCGCGCAAATATCACGCTTTAAAGAAGAAAATAAAAGGGTAAGGACAGAATTATAGACTGCAAAAGATAGATAATGCGTTCATTTTAAATAATTTTTCGAACTATCATTTTAGGCTTTGCTGGAACGCCAACAACGGCTGCTCACGTGGTATGGAATTTACAAGACACTTTCCTTATTCGGGACTCTTTTCACTGGTTTGACTTCTTCTACGCGATTTTGTGCATATATGTATCAGGGTTGTGATCAATTTTTTTTATATGTCATGCAGTGAGAGATTTAAGGAAGACTATGAAAAACTTGAGGCTCTATTGCAGACTCTTCCAAACAAAACATCCCACGAGGTTATGGTGAGTTTTGGTCGTGGGAGGGGAGGAAGCGTTTGAATATCGTAGTAAAGTTTTAAATTCTTTGAAACCACGGGAACAAGGATCTCTAGTCCATTAAGTACACAACTCATTGACTTGCACTCATACCTGTACCTCAAGCAAAATTTATAGAAACCCGAAGAAGCACTCTATATTTAACAAGGTAATTTGGTATTATCAACTAAGTTAATAACATAGATTGGCTATGGTTAAGAGTGTCAAAGCTGACTTTTCGAGCGTTAGCCCCGTGTCTTTTGCTCTGATAAAGGGCTAATGCTTGAAACATCAGCTTTGAAAATCTTTACAGTTGCCAGTTTATGTTATCAACTCAGTTGATGAAACAAAATTACCTTGTTATACTCTCCCATTGATACAGCGCAACAGTCTTTTTAGGAACTTACCCTCTTTATTACTTTATTTTTTGGTTTGCTCATGCTTTTCAGAGTTTATGAATTAGGCCATTGATAGAAGAGACATTCATTTTCTCAGCAGCTCTTAGGCTTCTAAGGGTATTGATGGGGTTAATGCATGCAAGTCCTGAGGTTACATTTACTCTGACAACAGAATGTTAGGTGAAAATGATATAGACTATGATGAATTTTGAAAAAAATAATTTTGTCATCAGGTTCCATTTGGATCTGTGGCTTTTATGCCAGGAAGACTTATTCACACTAATGAGATTATGGTGCTTCTTGGAGACAACTGGTTTGCTGAGCGTTCGGCTAGTCAAGCTCTTGAAATGGTGGAGAGACGAAAAAAATGTACTGTTTTTAACTTCATGTACATGGTAATGTTTTGTGATGACGGAGGACTCGTAGAAAATTGCATTTTGTTAGTCTTGCTTTTTATTTGGTCTGTATGTGAGCTGGGATGTTGCGTGGATAGGTATATACTGTATTTCTCTTTAAACCCTTAAACTTCCAGAAGTGATTCACATGCAACTTCTCCCTACAATATCCATACAATACCCAGCAAGCGGGTAATGAGAATACTCAAACTGATCTAACACCAAACTTGATCTAACACCAAATTCTTGTAACTAATTTATATGGAAATGTCTAGCAGCTAGAGGGGAGAATTAACAAACAGATCTGGTGAGTTAAAGGGTTAATGATTTTGTGGTGCATTTGGAGTTGTAAAGGACTTGGTGCTATAAGGTCTTTATGGTTTGATGATGACTTTGTAAGGATTTAGCCAACAGAAGGTTTTGCACCTAATGATGTTTGGTCTGATGAACTGAAAACCATTCAACTTTATTGCTCAACTGAAAAGTGTCATTTTCTTATAAGGTTACATAAAGATACACAGGGCGTGAAATTAATTTTTTTTTTCTGATAGCCACCTCCTAAATGTGGTAGCCAATGTTGGTCGCCATTTTCAAAGACAAACAAAACCTTTTTTACGCTGCGTTCTAGATCCAAAATTAAGTTAAAAGATCTTTAACGAAAAGTGGACACTAGGAGGGATGATATACAACTCTCAAGCTCACCTAAATTCAAGATGGCGTCTAGTCATCGATCGAGATGCACGTGCTGCGTTTTGGAAACAAACTTAACGAGGAAGTTTGCCACGGATTTATCTTTGAAAATCTTTTTAATTCATGATATCTGTTGGTAAGGTTATGATGAAACATTCTAGTCGCCAATTTGGTGACTAATTTTCAGGATTTGGTTGCCAAAGGGAAAAATTTAGTTGCATTGGCGCCTGTATTAGGCGCAATTTTACGCCCTGATACATAAATGTGCCATCCAAGTGTGTTTTTAGTTCACAGTATAAGTGAAACCACTTTATACGCTTAACCCTTTAACTCCAGGAGTGACCAAGACAGAATTTCTCCCTACAATATAAATACAATATGAATCAGGCAAGGGATGAGAATAAAGAAAAATATCAATTAAGTGACTATATGTTAATCCAAATCCAAATTCTCCAAAGTAACATCATAAGTATTACATAACAGACAGTAAGGAGATTTTCTAATGAGATCATGGGTTAAAATTTCATATTATTTTTTTTTTAACTGGTCTATCTCAGAAGGAGAACAACACCACATTGTTTTGTTTCTTCTTCTGGTATTAATTGTATCAGTTTGTTTAGATCAAGACCAAATTATGCCATGCAACTCCTAGAGGCTTCATTCGCATGTATTTACGATGATCTTTCCTTTGTTAGATCTGGAGAAAAATATTGCTGGGATTAAGGAAGACCTGAAGAATTTTGAATCAGCAGTAAACTTTGCCTCAGAAATTCAGTCCGTTGCTGAGGTAAAGTGCTATAATTTATACACTTAAAAATTACATTGAGATGTTATTTTATTGAGTAAATATTAAGATGCAGTGCTAATTCAGTGGAACTTGGATATGGTAAAGTCTTTGTGGGAAAATACATGTTTATTGCATACAGGTAGGTTGCATAATTTAATGATGACAAATATTTCCATGCTTATCCTGAAATTCAGTGTTGAACTGTTCACATTCTGAAAATTATGCAACATTAATACTAGCTGTTTTGCTCAAATAGCCATTCTATCTCTGTGAATAAACAATAAAAATAAATTAGTCTGAGGAAATTGTGCTAGAAATGCATGAAATTTTTCCTTTCACTTATTATGGTTTCTTAGGAAAATGCAGATGTAAGAGAAATCAAAGAAGAGCTTTCATCACAAGAGGAGGAGAGATTTTCAAGTGAGATTTTTTTCTTTTTTTTTTTCTCAAGAAACTTCTATATTCATTTTTAAACTTAACCCTTGAACTCTCAATGTGATTGTTAACCCTTTAACTCCCACGATCTCATTAGTAATTCTCCTTACTTTCTGCTATACAGTTCTTGTGATGTTAGTTTGGAGAATTTGATATTGGATCAACTTATAATCCCCTAATTGATATTTTTATTTATTTATTCTCATCACTTGTCTGCACAATATTGTGTTGATATTGTAACGAGAAATTCTCTCTTGGTCACTCATGGGAGTTTAAGGGTTAATCTCCCCTCTAGATGTTACACATTTCCTGTTGAATTAGTTGGAAGAATTTAGTGTTAGATGATAGTAACACCTTCTATGTGATAAGTTTCAGTATTCTCATTAACTGTTTGGTGGATAATTTTTGGATCTCATAGGGAGAAATTTCATCTTTTAAAATCAATTCTGGGAGTTAAAGGGTTAATTTGAGAGCTGTTGATAAAAATAAGTTTTGCTTATTTGATGGGGCTTGAATATTTGAATTCCACTGGTTCACAAATTGGGATTATGAGAGAGGAGTCTATTTCAAATGCACCCCATGATACCTTCTCAGTTACACCTTTGATTAAGTGAAACTTGAAATAAGCTCCACTCTTTAACCCTCAGAAAGTGATCAACTTGTAACTTCTCTTTGCAATTCCAATATGTTACCTTGCAAACAGGTGAGGAGAGTAGCAGTGATTTCCATTAAGAGAGTGCCATGTTATCATTACACCAAATTTTACTGTCTAATTTACAAGGAACTGTACAGTAGGTAGTAAGGAGACTTGAGGTGGATGACTTTATGATGAGGTTCTGAAGATTTAACCCAGAGGGCACAAATTGTACCCCATGTTGGTGTGGTCTGATGAACTGAAAGTCAGAAAATAAACCTGGATGAAAATTATTTATATCATGCCAGTAGGTGGGCAGGAACTTGTAATGTCATGGTTGACTCTTGCTTGCTGTTTGTTTAGAAGTCACTCTTTTATTTATTGGTAGCTCAGCATTTACGAAAGGCACACCCTAAGGCTGAAAGATTTGGTGGTACGAAGAAAGTTCAAGGACTTAAGAGTGATCAAAAGGATACAGTAACAATGAAAGGAAATAAGGTACAAAAAGTGTCTTCAGAAGACTTGTCTTTGCTTGCAAGACTAGATGAACTGGAAGAAAAGGAAACTAAGAATGCTGAACTAGACCAGGTTGGGAAGGATGATTCTGGTGATGAAAAAAGCATAACCACAGGCGAACACACAAACATACAAGGAGATGCAAGATGGGGACTTCATCATAAAGACAAAACAAATGAAACCAAAAATTTATGGCCGTAAATACGGCAAGATCTTCCATAAACTGAAAATGTTAAATAGAGGTGATGCAAATTTAAGAGAGATGCCTCAGCGAAACATTTTCATTTCCGTAACGATAAAGATGATTTAAAAGGCTTCCAAACAAACTTTGAAACATTATTTTTACAAGTATCTGTCACAATCTGACACCTGTCAATTAGAGAGCGCGCAAGAAAAAGAAAATCGAAGGAACATTTGAAAACCAACAGAACTAGTTTGGCAAGGACTGACAATGTTTTCTTCAAAATTAGTTAATGATCTAACGGAAACTATTATTCACTCTCATCGACGATTCATTCATGTACGAAGATTTACCTCTGTTCATTAAGTAAATGGCGAGGAAATTAATTGTGAGTAAATTCAATCTTTTTATTTTGAAGTTGTGAGAGTTTGCTCGTTTGTTTGCTGTAATGGCGTGTTTAACTCTGATCTTTCCTTCACAAAAACTAAATTCGAACAAGTGAGGATGATGATGAGAATCATGATAGTGATGATTTACAGACCACAATTTCAGTCAAGTTTAGCTCTTCATCAGAGCACTCACAAGGGCAGGTTAGTATAAGTTTTTATTGTACTGTGTTGATGTTTAAATACCTGTTATCACTTTCACTCCAGAGATCTAAATTTCAATTCTCTACATTGAGCTGTACATTCATACAATTTTAGCTCTGAGTATTGTGTTAAATCTGATGGTATGCACTACCTGATATGTTTCTTACTTCTCAACATCCTTCTGCCTGCAACTTTATCGAAATTGTAAGAGGAAATTGGGTTTTTGTTACACATGAAATTGAAAGGGTTAATATACGATGATAATGATAATGATGTACAGGTACAAGTACAGTGTAGCTCTCCGATTACAAGTACAGTGTAGTGCTCTAACCACACACTCATGTTGCCTCTTGAGTTGGTATTTGTGTTTAGAGGAAAAGATGTAAAAAATCCAATTGTTCTGACCTTATGCTGTACACTGGAGTTGGTGCTTTGACTTTGATTAAATTATTTTCTCATATCTTGCAGTCTCCAAAGGATTCTTGTGAAGAACTTACTGTTACAAGCCCAGCAGACATCTACTCACAGTTTGCTTCTAAAAAAGAGTTAAAATCCATTTTGAGAAGGCCTTCTGCTGAAGAAAAAGACAAAAAAAACTTTGAAGAAGAGACATCTCTTACTACACAGCAATTTCCTTCTGATATTGTCAAAGATAACACGCAGATAGCAGACTTTGACTCTCAGAAGGTTAGTTGGATCAATTGGAGCAGTTGGGAGGGTGTTAACTCTTTAGACTTAACATCATAATGCATATTCTCCATACTGTTCTCTATACATTTCCTAGGTTCTAACAAGGAGAATTTGTAAAACCATCACAAGCTTTGTTAGTTGCCAATCATTTCCTTTAATTTGATACCTTAATTTGATTCAAGGGATAGATTGTAAAGAGAAATTAGAACCTTGTCACTCTGTGGGATTAAAGGGTTAAACTTTTAATGTTTTGTTGTTCAATGGTAAATGAGCTCATACACTGGAAGATTGCACAGTTAATTCAGAAAAGGGTAGGAATACAGCCTACAGAGGTTGTGGTACATCTTGCATCAGTACATGATTCAATTTTCAAAAGGTTTACTGTTATGAAATTTCCTTCCACTGCAAAAGGGCCAGGCAAATTGATGGATCCAGTCCCTTCACACTGAGGGTGTGAAGGGACTGGATTTACATGTGAACCTGTGCTGGGGCAGTTATGCATGACACAATTTTCACAGTACCCTTTCCACCCAAGAGTATAAAATGGTATTGGTGAGAATGTGTGCATGTGTGTGTGGGGTGTGGGGAGGAAGGGAGGTGGAACTGGGGGAGGGGAGTGGAGGATGTAATGTTATTCCCAGTTGACTCATTCTACACCAAGAGAAAGAATCATCTACGGACTCTATGGGGTTAAGTTTTTACAGCTGGCACATGTAAGTGATGATGCATCTTTTGTGTACTTGCCTGGTTTAATGATGATTCAATTCCATGCTTATGCTGAGAACTTTGATATGAGTTCAAGGCAGATATTCTTGATTCTGAAAACCAAGCACCAGTGTTTCTAGAACCATGGTTTTGTGATGGATGACTAAAGAACTAAATCTTAATTTTCCTTGCCAATATGTTGGTTTGTTGAAGTGCATGTTTTTAAGTATGCATTGATACCAAATTTCTAACTTACTTTTTTTGCCTGTACCTTGATCAGGCATTTACAGGGAGTATAATTGAAAAGCCTGCTGTGCAGATGATCAGACAAGAGAGTTCTCACTTGCAGGTATGATAATATTCTTCTTTTGTCAGGAAGAATGGGTGAAATACTTCAGACTGTCCAATATATCTCTGAAGGAGATCAAATAATAACAGCAACAATTTTTGTTACTGTCAGTTAAGTTTAATCTACATATGGTTGCCAACATGATTTTATATGCAAGTCGATTTTGTAGACTTCCACTTACAGATCAATTTATATTTACTCTTCTTTTATGAACAGTCAGGCACATCCCAACCTGGAAAGAAGCTTTCAAGATTCAAAGCCACAAGACAGAAGCAACAATAACACATTCCTAATTGTGATAGCAGTCAAACTGTTTTTTTGCCTGACTTTCCCCAGATAAGGGGGAGGGGGGGAGGAGCTGGAAACACAGAGACCTCAATTCCTCCCTTCCATTATCTACCATGCTCTTTAAGAGTGCAATGCTGCCCTATAAAAATATTTGAAATAAATCCAATTTTGTGTATGTAGCCTTTGATTCCACCTTTGATGTGTCCAGTCAAGAACTATTAGTGATTAGGAAGAAAACCACATGATCATAGTAATTTGATAACTAATATGATTAAAAGCTGCACAGCACCACCTTCTACCCTACTGGAAGTACATCTCAGGCTCTATGTAGCCCAAGCCATGCCATCTTTGCCCAGTGTAAAACAGACCCAACACTCTTTATGATCTCCTTATCAGTTCTGACAAAAGCCTGTAACCCTTGGTTATAAGGTCATAGGTCATAAGGTTCTGGTTCCCACTAATTAAGCCCTTATCCAACTAACAATGTTTTTTGCTCCTCACCTTGCACTGATCTTTTTTTCCTTGAAAATGCCATACAATTATGCCTGTTCAGCATGCTAAAGAAACAGTAGAGCAAAATGTGGAAGGTCTAGAATCAATAATAATACTACCAGGCACAGTCAAGCTTTTAGATTCTTAACCCTGTAACTTCCAGAGGTGACCAAAACAAAATTGCGTTTTAAGAAAAAAATGCATGAGTCATCAGAATAACACGAACTTTACTTCACATCCATTGTAAGCTGCTTTTGTATCAGCAACAGCACTATAAAAGTCACTTCAATCTATTACTGCAAGTAAACCAGCTAAAAACTCATTTAAAGGGTCTTAAAAGGTAAATCTAGTGTTAGAGGATGCTGGCAACTTTGAGAATCACAAGTCAAGGAGGAGGGGTGATCAAGTTTTTAGCGTGAAACCAAAATCAAAGGTGACAATTTGAGTAGGGCAAGTCGTCTTGCCCAAAGTCACGTAACCCAAAATTTTCAGTCCTGTTGGTTGAAATCCTTTGAGAAGCATGGTGGCCAATGAAAAGGGAAACCATGTGCACACAGGAGTGACAAATAAGTTGAACACAAGTTACAACAAGGAAGAGACTTCAAACTTCCTATCTTTAAAAACTTTATTTTCCATACTTTTTCCAACTATTAAAATTTACTCGGCAAATGTCAATAGGTCAATAGTTTTCCTAGAGGTCAAGAATCGGTAAAAACCCTGCACAGATCACACTTGCAGTTTTTTTTCATCCATGCTTGTATCATTCTTAATTGCAGTGACAGGGTGTTGTTTTTTCCTTCCCTCTGAATGAAAACCACACATAGACTTGGTAAACCACCAGTAAACTATAGTTGTATATCTTCAAGCATTTTCCTGTGCAGCTTCACTGGCTTGGTCCTGTTTTGTGAAAAATATTGTCTCATCAAACTGTTGTACATCATCTGCAAACATATCCTCAGGGAGGGGATCCTGGGGATCTGGGAAATAAGTAGGGAAGGGAGGAGGGTGTTCGTGTGACTTGTAAGAATCCTGAATTGTAATGAAGCTTCCCTTTTTGCCTGGACAATTTCCCTGGAGGTAAAGGATATTGTACTTGGTGTTGATACGAAGAATCTGGAACAAAAAAATGAAAAACTTCTTAACACAAGGCTTATGATTTGTTCAGTCATTGTACATTTTATTTAAGACCCTTTTCATTTTAATTTTAATTCTACAGTTTCCAAATGAACATTACTTGTTCAAATTACCTTGACAGCAAGGAATGTACAGCTATTATTTCCCATGTGACCAGGCATCCTCTTTCCTGGCCAGATTCTTCCAGGATCCTTATTTTAAAATCAGAAAAAAAAATGAATTATGGAAGAAAAATAGTTCACTGCTCCTTGTTGAGTGGTTACTGCTACCAACAAATGGTCACAAACATATCTTGTAAAGAAAAAAGGCTTCAATGCCATCAGGGCATAACCTGACGGGAAACAACTAAATGTCAAGCTCTTCTACAATGGAGGAAACAGAAAAAGCAGGAGCAAGTTTCCTTCCCCAACACAGGTCATATTTGCTTGCTTCATTCTTTAATCATCTTTACTGACAGCTAGCCCAGCTGTGATAGACTTGCCATGTTTTTATCCTAAAACTATCTGTACATTTAATGACCTAGATTACAGGATTTGTCTGTGTTTCATACCTGCCCGCCTCCTGTTGCTCCCATTTTCCTGTGTGTTTTTGAATGGCCATGAGAAGCTGGTTGGCCTTTCATCTTCCACCTTTTCATCACACCTTGAAATCCCCAGTCAATTCTTTGTTCACGAGAAAAAAAGAATGCATTACGTTACCAGAAACTGAAATCCAAGTAGTATTTGAAAGAGGATCACTGAGCAGCAGTTGCTAGCAAATTTCCTAAGCAGGGAAAGAGCACATAGACCACCAGAAAAATTTAAAGACCAATAAATAAATGCTGAAAGTTACATCTCTCTTTAAAAAGCATGTTATAGATGTTTTAATGGGTTTCAAATGAAGACGGAAGAAAGCAACCTACGTAACTCCTTGAATTTTAACATGCTGACCAGGATAGAAGTGAGCTGCATAAAGGGGTGTTCCTGTTAAAATTAAAACAAAATATAAACAAAACAACTCAAACCAAATATCAATTATGGAATAGCCTCATTTGCTTGCAGAGGGTAATTTTCACTTCCAGAAGGTGACTTTTCCTGATCAACTTTAAAGATCTATTTTCCTTTTTCATACCAGGATGAAGAAGACCATTTTCTGTAACAGGAAAGCTTGCCACCTTTTTCTTTGGATTGATGCCATATTTCTTGAAGTGTCCATATTGAGATTTTCTGACCTATATGGCAAAAAAGGGGAAGATTAATTTGATAATACTGTAAAAGAGGGAGGTATGATGACCTAGACAGGGTCTGGGCAAACTTTTTCAGCAGTGAATGCCAGATTTTTAATTAATTACAATAAATCAAGAACACTAATTTTTGCAAGTGCTTGAGAAAAAGTTACAGTTCAAGTTGCAGTTGCTTTGGTGAGAGGCCTTACAATCTAGTGAAAATTGGACGCTGGAATGGTAAGTACCATCACAGACTCAAAATTACTGCAGTTAGAAATATGAGAATATTTCCATTGTCTCCCAGTTCTGCCTATGTTAATGCAACACCTATGATTTGGTGAATAATTTATTGTCAGAGTTGGAAGAAAAGGGAAAACCTGACCAGCCAGAAATGCAGTTCTTAAGGTTCTTGAAATCTTACAAGTCCAGCAATTCTGTTTTCACTAAATTTTAGGCCAAAGAGTCATCAAAAGTATTAGCATTCCACTTTCAATTCTGTTAATTTGATTTGTACTTGATTTTATCATTCTGGGCCCAGTTATATAAAGGGCAGATAATACTATCCAACAGATAAATAGCTCTCCAGCAGATAAGTGATAAAAAAATGTATAGTGTTATCCACTGGATAGAGATTCATCTAGAAGATGGAGTTATCTGACATTCGAACAACTAGGGCCTGCACTCCTGACTACCACCCAAACTTGAACTCCAACATAACCGAAAACCAGCCTTAAACAAAATTTGTCTATATTTAAGAACATTTTATCTAAATTTGCTGAATCACTAATCACTCAACTCTTACAAGTGATTAAAAAGAAAAAAGAAAAAAAAGAGGAAAGAAAAATGTATCAGCTAGAGTAATAATTTAACACCAGATTTCTGAACTTAATTATAAGAAAATCTATGGCACCTTGAGGGAAGAATTAGGAACCAGCACATGGAGGTTTATTTTACTCACATTATACAACTGAGTTTCTTCCACTGCTCCAACCTGAAGCTCTGTTGAATCATCTCTGCCACCAAGTTCTCTGCTGATTCTTGTTGCAACAACTTGACAATCCTTAATCTAAGAATTAATTTTTATAACAGTTAACCTGTAACTGTTATAATGATGACCTCGGCATTGATAATTCATGATATCATGCTCCACTTTATCCAATAATTGCTCATTATCATCATTATTACTATTATTATTAATCAGTTCTAATTATTTTCGAAAATAAAAGTCAGAGGGGTGAAAAAAAGTAATTTGAACTCCAATCTTAAGCCGTTATTACCTCAACCAGGGTGACAGGCTTCCTTGTTCCATCCTTGAGCCACAAACAACTCATTCCCAACTTGACTCCTACCAACCCAACCCGTTTAGATTCAGGAGTCCATTGAGCATCCACAGGATTTATACACACTGGAACTCTGGATCGGATTTTTCGTGATTTTTCAATTTCTTGCTCGACATAATTTTGAGAAATAGGCTTTTTCCTGGGACCTTGCAGTAAAGTAGGTTCCACCTCGTAAACTTCTAGTAGATTCCTAGGTGAATCTACCTTTGTATCAACTTCTTCTGGCTGTGCTTCTGCGCTATAAAATCGTCTCTGTGTCGAAAGTATTACTCTGAAGGTATTTCTGTTGAAAGCTGAGGTACTTATCTTACGTAAAGCTGAATGAGTGTTGGACAAAACCCGTAGAGTCCATCCCAGGCGAAGCGGACCACGAGAGGTCGCCATGTTGGATCTCCTTTCCAGCCTCTTTCATTCGGACCATTGCGAAGCGGTTGTTGCTGCGAAAGAGGGGGGGGGGTGGTCTGTGGGGTGGGTTGCCTGGGTTTTAACATATTAAAGCGCCTCTAAAATGTTAGTTTTCCTCGTTCCTCGGGTTATTATATTTTTCCATAATTTGTTTTCTTTGTGACTAAAATCTCATCGTAAGTTGTCCTTTAGACTGCGATGTCCATTTTGAAAAATAAATAATTTTATGAATGGTAATTTAAGGTAAATTAATAAGTTAATATTGGCGCGAAGTGCGGTTACTAAGCGACCGCAGAGTTTCTAAATAGATACAAAAGTCGCTTGATCAACGTTCCGTGACTGTGTGGTGCTATAGTTACTGATTTGAAAAGGTAATTCTGCTACTAGTTGTACACAGAGCTTTGAAACCAAGATGTCCGCTGTCTTAGATGAGTTTTTTGTTCGATATGGAAAGCTCCACCGGGCAATCACTAACAGGACAGTCGAATGTAACGGGTATCATTGATTCTGGAATTTCTGTAAACTTGCTTCTGCTCGGCGAAAATTTGGTGGAAAAGGCTTTTGAAGAAGCCTTAGAAGTGGTTCGTGAATACAACTATAGCGAGGTAAGTTTCAATGGTGCAGGTAACTTTGTTTGTATTTTGTGGTCACTGAAGTTCATAAGAATGGAAAAGTGAAGTGAAGTCGTAAAGTTGTCATATCAACAGAAGCGACCATTGGAATCCAAGTGTTTAGTAAACAGAGTATGTTTGCCAAAGGGAATATATATACTTTAAGTTTTAAAAGTTCAAATGGCTAGTTAGGAAACCAGACAAACTACGGATACTGTGAATGAAAAAGTGATCATTAACTTTTTTCAGCCCCTATGAATTAACGGCTTAAACTGAGTTTTAGGACAAAAAATTGAGAGGGAACATCAGATGTGTAATCTAATCTTCTCCTCATTTGTGTTTGTGATATTCTGCATATTAGCTAATTAAGCCTGTACCAAGCACATCAAAAGCTTTATTTTACCACTTTTTTGTGTTACATTACTACAAATCATTATTCAAATGCTGTTGTTATTTGTGACTTTAGTTTTGTATTAACTTTAGCCAATTTCAGGCAAATTATTTAATTTGAGTTGTAATAAGGTCTATGCGAACAATTGATATTGTTACGGCCATGTTGAATCACAGTAAAGTGGGTTTATATGCGTGAAAGAGTGGAGGGTGGGGGAGGGGGGGGTGGGTTGAAGAGGGGAAATTTTCAGCTGTAGTTGTAGTTGTTAGAAATCTAAGCCCTGGAGCATAGGATAAATTAGAGATCCAGGACCTAAACACTTTTTCTTTTTTTCTGTGAGGAAAAATATGCCCTTCGAATTGTTTCCAAACTGTGGAGTTTGCTTCTGTCTTGAAGGGAGGTACCACATTGTTAGAGTCTCTCCTAGATGTTAAGATCCTTCAATCTGTGAAAATGATCCAGAATTTGATTTAATAAGGTTTGCTCCACCTTGCTCTGTGATTGGTCAAGAAAACTTGCACCACCTTCTCTACCAGTCAGATGCAAAACTAAAACCAATCATGGCTTGGACACTTTCTTTTCCTTTTTTTTACCTTGAGTTCTCTGTCTGACTTCCTTTGATATTTGCTGTAATGATTACATGTACTTTATACTTTGGTTTTTGTTTTGCCACACTCAGTCAATAAGTGCTTTCATCTCTAAAGTACTGATTAAGATGTTTATGAATGGGTATGACTCAGTTGACAATCCTTTTTCATCAGATGTCTTATTTGCTTTCAGGTTTTATCAAATACCAGTAAACAACTCAGAGACAGTGAAGTAAATAAATCAATTAATGAGCCTGGATTGAATATGGACAACTTTAACGTTGCACAGACAGAAGAACAGAGAAAGGAAGCTACTGAAGCTACTGATGACGAGTTTGATGTAGTTGATGCTGCACAAATTTCAAACTTTCCTGCAAGCAACATAAAGATAAGTGAGAGCCCTTTGACAGGAATGCAAGATCAGTCTAAGGATAAAAATATTAAGGGATCAGACTCCATCATTCCTCAAATAGAGGTTGACACTGTAACTACACTTAGTGGTTCAAGTGCTGAAGAGGGCAATGGCAAGGAAGAGAAAAAGAGGAAGAAATTAAGAAAGAAAAAACAAACAGGATCAGGAGGATCAGAGCAAGATGATGATGACAAAGATGAGCTGAAAGATCAAATTGATAAACTGAAAAAAGAAAATGAGAACATGAAAAAGGACATTGAAAGTTTGTCAAAGGAAAAATTGTCTTTAGAGGAGAGACTGGGGGAGGAAAGTAGCAAGAGAGCAAATGAAAATGATGAGCTGAAAAATGAGCTAGATAAATTAAGGAGAGAGAATGAAAGAATGAAATGGGAAAAAGAAAGTTTGTCAAAGGAAAAATCATCATTGGAGGACAAACTTGGAGAGGAAGATAGCAAGAGAGCGGATGAAAAAGATGAGATGAAGGTTGAATTTGATAAACTAACGAGAGAACATGAAAACATGTCACAGCAAATTGAAAGTTTGTCAAAGGAAAAATCATCTTTGGAGGCAGAACTCAATGAGGAAAGGAGGAAGGAAGAGGATAAAGACAAAGTTATCAAGGAACTTGAAATTAAATTAGACAGCTTAAAAAGTGAGAATGAAAACCTGACAGAGAAAAACATTTCCTTGGAGAAAGGCATAGAGGAGAAAAAGGATAAAATAAAGGTAAATGTAATTAAAGCTGATCTAGAGGTCTGTTGATTATCTAAAATATACACAGCCCAATTAAAGTAGACTTTGTCACAATAACAGGTCTACTATATTATTTTAAACAATCAACGAAATAAACTCTGTTGCAAGAAAATACCTCAACCAGCCCAGGTCTCAATCTTTTTTTTGATAAGTGGCTGCTGATGGTGTGATATAGGCTGCTGTGTTGTAAAGCAAAACTTGAACATGATAGTCCACTGACAAACACTGAACAGCTGGTAGTAAGAGGTCTTGCTTTTACTAAAACTTCTTTAAAACCCTCAAATATTAAACTTTTTGAGGCACTGGCAGGAAATAACAGATACAGATGAATTAGGAATTGGAGCTTTCACTTTAAAATAGTTTAATTGAACCACAAATTTGATTTTAAAAAACATTTGCATTTAAATTATGTCTTTTATTCCTTAAGGCACTTACAGATCAACTACAACAAGAAAAAGAACTCCATGAACAAGCTATTACAAACCAGACACCTGAAAAAGATCAGCTTGTTACTCAACTAAAAGAAGAAATTTCCAAACTTCAAGTCCGAATTACAGAACTAGAAAATGGCCTAGAAAATGCTCAAAAAGAAAAGGAAGAAACAATTTCTTCATCAAAAGAGAAAGTTAAACAACTTGAAGCTGAGAACAGAAGTAAGGAACAGCAGCTAGAGGATGCCAAGGAGGATGTGAATAGGTCAATGACTTCTTTGCGTGATCAAGAAGAGATGGCTAGTGGCCTGAAAGAAGAGAATGAATTGCTTAAGAGTCTAGTTTCTTCGCTGGAAGAAGAAATTAAAAAAAGCAAGGAAGAACTAGAAAAAGCGCAGGAAAAAGAACGAAAGGTTCTACAAGAAAAATCCATACTTCAGAAGGAACTGAACAATGCTAAAACTCACAATAGTCATCAAGAGAATACTGTTCAGAAGCTCAAGAATGAGAAGGCTGAGTTACAAGAGATAAATAGAAAACTGGAAGATGAGCAGAGATCATTAGCTGATCAGAAAATTACAAAAGAATCTCAGATAAAACTGCAAGAAAGGATCCATGAGCTGGAGGATAAGGTGATCAAAGTCAATGAAAATAAAAGAAAGGTCAAAGCAGATTATGACGAGGCTGTGAAAGCTTTGGAAGCTGTAGACAAAGTGGTAAGTTGTAAAAGTTGTAGAACCTTATTGTAAGTATTAACTCTTCACACCTGAACATCAGTTAATATATGCAAGTTGTCTATACTGCTGTCTATTGGTACATGGCTAAGCTTTGGAAGCTGTAGACAAAGTGGTAGGTTACAAAAAATATTGTAGAATTCTGAATCATCTTATAAGGAACCAACTCTAATTACACCTAACACCAGTATGCTAGTACTCTATACTACTGTCTATACATTTTTAGTATTTACAAAGAGAATTTGGCTAACAAACAAGAGGCTCTTAATTACAACCTTAATTTTTGATTCAGGGGCCTTAAAATGGTAGGTGCATATTTGTGGTGGGCACTATTTTGAGGTTGGGGGCTAAATTGAGTAACTATTGTCACTTAGAGTAATTCAAGTGTTGTGTGAATCAATCTGTCAAGAATAAATGTGTTGTGCATTTGTAACACTACTTTTATATTTTTGCCACAGTATCGTGTCAGAGAGGATACTCTAGAGAAATACAAAGCCGACTATGAAGATGCCATGGACTTGATTAAAAAAAGTAAGCTCATACTGTAGCAGTAAATAAATATTATTTAGTACAAATATTTTATCAAATATGATATTTTTGACCAGAGAATGGTATTCAATTAATATTAATTTTTAATATGAAGTAATTTACATACAATCATGCTTGCTGTAACCCACTTATAAAAGCACATAATAGGTATATGTGACTGGTGTGGATAAATTTACAAGTTGATGTGGAAATTTAGTATAATTGTATTATGTGTTCAGAGCTTTCATAATCTAAAAGATCACAAAGTTAATGGTTCAATCAATGGTATCCCAATTACAGAGGAAAAAGAGAATGCTAAGCTGGAGAGTGATCTTTCAAAAAATAAAGAGAAGCTTACAAGAGCTCTGGAATACAAAGCAGATCGAGAAGAACTCAAAGATCAAATTAGGAGAAGTAAACAGGCAATTGAGTCACAGAAAGAGGAAGTAGAGCAGGCCAGGAAAGACTTAGATGAGGAAAGACACACATTGAGGATGGCACAGTGAGTAGGGCACAATCTGCATGGTCTCACAGTTGATCAAGATATTTTCTTTACTTTGTTTCTACGCTTTGGAGCACACTGGCTTTTTCTTCCCCCCTCCCCCCCAGGCATTTGGACTTTTGGAGGTTGGTTCATTGAAATTCCTGATCCATGGAGCCAAAATTGTGCTCAAATGCCCCACCCAAGTACTGGTTTCATCCTCAATTTTTTTTTGTTTTTGTGAAAGGCAACATTAGCCCCTGTGACTCTCCTGTATATCCTTTCTTCTGAGCCATCTGCCCACAATGACAGTTAAATGCTTGTGAGTTGCCCAGGAGGATGTTGAAGCTTCAAATTGAATGGTGTGAATCTACAAACTGAGTGAATTCAAAGTGTGTATATATATTAATAAGAAAAGGTGTTGCATGATCATGCAATTTTTTATTCTTTTTGTTAAATCAGGGCCAGAGCTCAGGAGAAGGGAAGAAAAATTCAAATTTTAAATCTGGAGCTCACTGAAGTCAAGGACACCTTGCAGGTTTGTTTCTATGGTATATTCTATTTGGATGACTGTGTCAATA